AATCCGGACCAGCGGAAATGAGAAGATTTTCGAGAAGCGTGTGGACATTTGCACTGTTTCCCCGCCCAAGGGAATAATAAATGTATCCGGTGAGTCAATTCCATTTTGCTTCGACTCAGGAGCTGAATGTTCGTTGGTAAAGGAAAGCGTTGCAGACAAGTTTAAAGGAAAGCGACTAAACAATATTGTGAAACTAAATGGCATCTGTAACGACTCTATCTATAGTACAATGCAAATCCTTTCTAATATAAATATTGAACAGTATTGCGTAGAAACTTTATTGCATGTTGTAATGGACAAATACCTAAATTACGATGTTTTGATTGGTCGCGAAATATTAAGCCAGGGCTTTAGTGTAGCAATAGACGCTGAAAAATTTAGTATTTACAAAACTAAAAGAGTGAATGTCGTAAATTTTGCCAATTATAAAAACCTTGTAGATTCCGATGGCGACTTGAGTAACTCCGATAAGATGGCCTTGAAAAATATTCTGGAACGTTATTCTGATTGGTTTATAGAGGGAATACCAAAGACTCGGTTAACAACAGGGCACTTGGAAATTAGGTTAATAGATCTACAAAAGACAGTGCAGCGCCGGCCATATAGACTTAGCGAAGATGAGAAAGTGCATGTACGTTCTAAAATCGATGAGCTCCTTAAATCTAATATTATTCGTCCCAGCTGTTCACCATTCGCTAGTCCTATGATGCTCGTTAAAAAAAAAAATGGCAGTGATCGTCTTTGTGTAGATTACCGTGCTTTGAATGAGAACACAGTCTCAGACAAGTATCCTTTGCCTTTGATTTCTGATCAGATTGCTAGGCTGCGTGGGGCAAGTTATTTCTCATGTCTCGATATGGCCAGCGGCTTCTACCAAATACCGGTACATCCAGATTCAATTGAGCGCACCGCTTTTGTCACCCCCGAGGGTCAATATGAATTTTTGACTATGCCGTTTGGTTTAAAAAAACGCTCCGTCCGTGTTTCAGCGCGCTATTATTGCAGCATTGGGAAGTCTTGCTTACACTTACGCCATCGTTTACATCGATGATGTTTTGATTGTGGCCGAAACTAAGGATGAAGCCTTAGATCGATTGGAGATTGTACTAGAAACTTTGAGCAAGGCTGGGTTTTCATTTAATGTAACTAAGTGTTCCTTTCTTAAAACTAGGATAGAATATCTGGGGTTTGAAGTGAGCAAAGGACAGATTCGCCCTAATCCACGCAAAATTCAAGCGCTGAGCGAATTGCCACCCCCAAAAACGGTTACGCAATTAAGACAATTTATAGGGCTAGCATCTTACTTTCGGCAGTTTGTGCCAAAATTTTCTGAGACTTTAAAAACACTGTATTCGCTCACTTCAAAGAAAAATTCAGATTTCGTTTGGCTGTTAGAGCATGAAAGAATTCGCTCGAAAATAATATCCGTTTTAACCCAGGAGCCTGTGCTAACCATATTCGACCCTCAACATTCGATTGAACTTCATACAGATGCCAGCGCAATTGGCTATGGTGCCATTTTGCTTCATAGAATCGACAAAAAGCCTCATGTTGTTGAATATTTCAGTAAATGCACGTCACCTGCTGAATCAAAATACCACTCATATGAGCTTGAGACTTTGGCAGTCGTCAACGCCATTAAACATTTTCGTCATTATTTACAGGGGCGTAAATTTGTTGTATTTACAGATTGCAATTCGCTAAAAGCTAGTCGAACAAAATCGGACCTTTCACCAAGGGTGCATCGATGGTGGGCTTTTCTACAGTCGTTTGATTTTGACATTCAGTACACGAAAGGTGAAAGAATGGCACACGTAGATTTTTTATCAAGGAATCCGATGATTAAAGAATGCAAAAGCATAGAGAAAATTGTTGAAAAGCGAATTGAATTGACTGAGGTAACTGACAATTGGATAGTTTCTAAGCAACAACGGGACCCTGAAATAGCTGATTTATTAGCTAAGCTTAAAAATAACGAACTGCCGGAAAATTTAGATAAAACTTATGAATTGAGAAAAGGCGTTATATATCGAAAAATACAAAGGAACGGCAAAAACAAGTGTTTACCTGTAATACCTAGGGCATTTAGATGGGCAGTGATTAATCACGTCCACGAATCTATTATGCATTTAGGTTGGGAAAAAATCTTGGATAAGGTATATGGGTTTTATTGGTTTGAAAATATGTCGAAGTACGTTCGAAGGTTTGTCGAAAACTGCATTACCTGTAAACTAGCCAAGCCACCGGTTGGGAAAATTCAGGTGGAATTACATCCGATTAACAAGGTCGAAATTCCGTGGCACACAGTGCACATTGATATTACTGGAAAGTTGAGTGGAAGGAACGACCTAAAGGAGTATGTAATTGTTTTGGTGGATGCGTTCACAAAATTTGTTTATTTTCATCATATCTTAAATATTGACACAGAAAGTTCTATTAAAGCCGTCGTGTGTTTGTTTGGTGTGCCTACTCGAATTATAGCGGATCAGGGCCGTAACTTTGCCAGCTCAGGATTTCGTGATTTTTGTTCTTCCCAAAAAATTGAGCTTCACTTAATTGCAACGGGCGCGAGTAGGGCAAATGGCCAGGTTGAACGTATTATGAGCACACTTAAAAGTATGTTGACCGCTGTCGAAACAAGTCAGAGATCGTGGCAAGATGCATTGGCTGAAGTACAGTTGGCAATGAATTCCACAGCTAATCGAGTCACCAAGGTCAGCCCATAAGACAAGCTTATCGGTAGGGAAGCTAGACCTTTCGGCCTATTGCCAATAGGTGAAGAAGAGGATAATTTAATTAATAGAGAATCCGTAAGAAAACAAGCTAAGGAGAATATGGAAGTTAATGCTCGTTACGACAAACGTAGATTTGATAAGAACAAAGCAAAAATAATTAAATTTAACGTTGGAGACCATGTATTGTTGAGAAAGGAAGAGCGACACCAGACAAAACTTGACCCAAAACATAAAGGTCCGTTTGAAATCATTGAGTTACTAGATGAGTAAGAGAACATATAAGAGAACATATAAGTATGCGCATGAATTTTTGAGAGCATTGCCGAATAGACAAATAAGTGAAGAAGTTGATGAAGAATTCGACGACTCAAAAGGAGCTGAGTCTGATTCCCAAGTGGGAAATGAAGATATGGATGGCACTGTAGGTGCTTTGGAATCCCAAGAGGGGATTTAATGACCGCACCATAACAGATGGACATGTTATGGCGGGGGTCAGTGGTGACCGCACCATAGCAGAAGGACTTGCTATGGCGGGGGTCGGTAATTTGGTGTTAATGAAAATGCACAAGTTGATAAAGTTCATAAGTTAGTATGAATTGTTAAATATGGTTAAGAAATAAAAGTAATGTAAAGAATGTTATCAAGAAACTACACTAATGTTATTGTAATGTGTTAAAGGAACTACACAAATGTTAAAAAGTGTTAAAGGAACTACACTAATGTTATATAGTAAGATGTGTTAAAGGAATTACACAATTGTTAAAATGTGCCAAAGGAAATGCACAAATGTTTTATTTTACAAAAAGAGAATAATGTTATTAAAGAATAACTAAATGAATTAATGAGATTATGTTTAATTGAAGAAATGTTAATGAAATGTTTTAAAGAATAAAAATGAATAACAACTGACGTGTGAACATGGAGTGATTTAATGATAGCACACGAGGACGTGTGATTTGTCAGGAAGGCCGTGTCGGAGAGCTGGTACATGTTCTCTGTAGGTCAGTGTGTGTTCGCTTAAGTGCATTTCCTAGAACGTCATTAAAAGTAGGCGACGCATAGGCGGGACATATTTTGGAACTTTGGATTGTAAATGCGCAGTTAAAGGGAAAGAAGCATAGTAGCGGAAATTGAGTGTCTGCTACTGAGTGAGGTCTGATCGTATGTCGCGAACTGAGTGAGAACAGAGGCAGGAGCAAAGAAGGAATTGATAAAATTGAGCTCTGCGTTCTCGGAGGTCAGTTCGATTTGCGGCATAGAGACGAGCAGAACTTGCTGTGCTTTAAAGAATAAATAAAAATGAATCCGTCACCAAACGAGCCCCCGATATGTACATATGTACATACACTGGGTATAAATAAACAATGCCCCTATAAGGGCGAGGTGGGCAATAGGGGGTTAAGGGTAGCGGCATTTCCATATTGTTGCTATAATCAGCGGCCGCTTTGATTCATCTGCATGTCCGCAGTGGCGGGGGAAAGGGGGTTAGATGGCCATATAGGGAGAGAGGAGAACCTTTTGGTTTTGGCTTTCTGCTTTGCCACCCCAGAATCATCAAAGAGCTAACCCGGGAGCTAACAACGTGCAGACCAAACCCAACCCAAGCCCAATCCCAAACCCAAGAGGGCAAGCCCAAGGCAACCCAGTGCAACCTTAGCCCCCAACAAACTCCCTTCAACCACTCATCCAACACACAACAACAAAAAGTACACATCGCAGACTCACAGACTCCGCCACTTGCAACTTCCAGCCACCAACCTGCCAACTGAAAACTCATGCCTTACAACATGTTCGATGGCAACATGATCGCTGCTCGAGTTCGAGAGCAATGCTAACAGAGATGATTCAGGACTTGTGACACAAAAAATTGCTAACAGCCAATAATTGCCAAAAATATATAATAATGTACAAAAAATGTTTTTTAACAATGGAACATAGTTAGGAGAAACCGAATTTGGTAATTCTCTAGAAGTTAGAGTTGTCCTTAAACATCAACTATCATTTTTATATAAAAAATTTAAATGTTGTTTTATAATTGACAATGTTTTTAATATAAGATAACAAATTTACAGCAACTCAAGATGTTTTAGTTCACTAATCATAAGTACAAAATAAAAATGCAATTTAGTTACATTTCCTAATTAATGACATTGAGAGTGGCCCGAATACTCTCGCTCATCACTTATCTAGCCAAATCCAGCTATAGCTATTGGATTTGCTGGTGCTGCAGTAGTTGTTGCTGTTGTAGTTGCCACTGATGTTGCTACTTTCGTTGTTGTTGTTTTTATCTCGCAGCCTGACAGTTCTGGGCTGAGTTTTAGTGTTGCTGTTTCGGTTTTCAGTTTTCTGCTCTCTGTTTTCGTTGTGTCCGCCAGAGCAGCATTTACCCTCGACAAGGCTGGTTGTTTTGTTCGGCTCTTGAAATTTCCAAATTTCGCACACAGTTCGTATACATTATATTTCTCTTTTTCCGTCGCGTTCTTCGTCGTCTTTCGAGTGTGTGTTTTTGTTATTGCTGTGCTGTCATTTTCGGGTGGTACGGTACTTTTTGTATATTTAACAAACGTTACAATTATTTTTTTTAACGTGTGTTGCTAACAGTGTACTTTTACTCAAATAACAAAGTCAAACAAATAAAGCATGTTATAAAGAGAGAACACACAAGAAAACAAAAATAAATAAAGAGGCAAGGTTTTGTTGTTGTCGCGCAGCATGTGGAGTAATAGTTAACTGTAACAGTTAACGGGGGATACCAAGGAGGAGGAGAAGGAGGCAGTGGAGAAGCAAAAAGAGAGAGGGAGAGGATTTACCGCTACGCTTCACTAAATGCAGTCGACGCTGCGATTATTATGTGCCAGCCCCAACAACAAAAACAATAACACTTGATACGAAAATAAACAAACAAAATCAATCAATTAATCAATCTGCTGAGCACACCGCTCTCCACGCCCACACACACACGGCAAAACACACCCAAACACACACAACACACACGAGTCAACGCCCACGCCCATTTGAGAAAAAGGTGGGAGTGGCAGGACGAGAAAGGAGGCAAAAGGAGGAGAAAAGAGGAAAAAGGAGGAAAAAGGAGGAGAAGAACCAGGCAACATGTTCCACTCACTTGTTTTGATGGCCTGCGCCCTTGCCGCCCTCTCTGTCGCCCAGGAGGCGGGGCCAGCTCGATCGAAATCATTATCGCTTTCGGCATCGGTATCGGTATCGAGTCCAGGAGCAGACCCAACATCCCCCTCCCCCTTCGCCAGTAAACAGCTGAACAGATGCCGTCAAAGTTGCAATCAGCAGGTAAGAACAAGAATAAAATAAGAGTTCAAGTCCAACTCGAAACCCCAGACTCTGAACTCAAAACTCAAAACTCAGAACCCGAGATAAGGCCCCGGATCGTATCCGTTTCGATCCCAGTCGTTTGATGGACAGTTGTATGCCCAGTTGAGCGGCAATATATATATAAAACATAGCTGATAGGGTAGGCGGTGGGTACACAGAGAAAAATAACAACAACCTCCTGCACTCAAAAACTAAACGATCGATTTAAATTGAAATCTGCACAGAAATAAAACAGCTCGATATCAAATTCAAATCGGTAGATTTAATAGATATTAAAGGGTATAACAAGGTTAAATTAAAATGAATCCTCAATCCTTTTTTTTAGGTAAGAACCATAGAACAGTTAACATGCTGGTATTTGGTAAATTATGTATATATTTTAGCCATTAATAAATTTACTACGTCGATTCAAAGATTCCCAACCGGGTTAACTTATCCAAGCAAACATGAAGTTTTATGTTTTTATGATCGTTTACAACCGTGAATTTGCATTTTTTTTTTGTTATTTAAAGGTCCTGCATAATTTGCTTCTCTAATTTATTCATAGTTTGGAAACCGCGTTGCTTAAAAAATGGTTGTCGTCGATTCGACAGTCTAGGGTTAAAAAAAAGGTCCTTCAAAGTTGCAATATAGTATAAATGCAATACAAAGTTGTAGAAGGCTAATTTAATAAAAGATAATATTAAAGGCTTTGAATCAACTGGAAAAATAAATATTTCCGAGTCACTTGGAGAGCAACGCTCTGCCGTCAGGTACTATTTAACTGGATTAAGATTGCCCTAATTGAGGTCTTGCCGAATTGATCCCGGACCGACCCTTTTCTCTGCGTGTAGGGACAGTTGTGCCCCGGTCGGCACCGACCTTCAAGGTTAGGAGACGTCGATGACAATGACAATGGTTCGTGAAGGCACCAGAAAACCAGAAAGCGACGTCATTTTTTATGCCTGCTCGCTGGGTCTTTTATCTTTTATCTACGGGTTGACATCGGAGCTATTGCCGCCGCTGCTTCTGTTGCCGGTTATTATGGTTGTTACCTTACTTACCGCTCAGGTAGTCGCCGGCCGCTAGAAAGATGTCAACTGGGTGGTCGAGCGTCGCTAATAGAGATCGGGAAATTGAATTTGAGCCGACAATATAGACAATGGTCAAAAAAACGCAGGCCACGCAGGAATAAAGCTCTCGGATCGAATTTGTACAAAGCTGTCACCGATGGATACGGATAAACGACGGTGCCCATGAACTTTAGTTGAAATGCCAAAGCAAAAGGAGATGCTTTTTAAAAAAATAGAGCAGGTGGGGAGAACAATGGTCAATGGAAGCATCCAAAGAAATCTAAAAAGGAGCTTTGATAAATGACCGCGAAAAATTGGAGACAACTGGAAATGCTGGGTCTAAGGCAAGCTACAGAAGAATAAAAATGGTAAAAGAATAAAAAGGGGTTTCAGTTCAACATAAAGGTGTTTTAGAAATAATATAATTTTAAGGTGTCTTACATACCTTGGTTGGTTTAAAATGTCTAACAGAAATCAAACGAATCCTTAGATTTAATATAGACCAAAATACCTTAAATCAACATTTGCAACAAACCTTAAGGCAAATACAAATTAACAATGTAAATTCAAAGTTAATACTTCATTAAAAAAAACAGCATTTAAATGTACATAACTAATACCCAACTAATCAATATGAATAACAAAGTTCTGCAAGCAACAAATCCAAGTTGAAAATGCCACTACAATCGAACGCACCCCCGAAAACGCTGAGTTGACACTTTCTTGTGTTTGCCCCTAAACAAACTTTGAAACCCCAGGGATTCGGTTTTCAGTTTCCCCTCCATTTCGTGTAACCGATCCCCACCGAAATAATTTTAAATATGTCCCCGATGGATTGAAATCAAGACGGAAAAGTTTCTCAAAGATTTCCACAGTTGATTTTTTAATGCGTGACTTCCTGGAACCGCGCTGATCTGTCAGCGATATCGGAAACATAGGGGGAGGTTGACAACTATGGATTGTTAATAAATTTCAATCAAATGAAATCAAATCAAATTTTCATATCAATTCGATCCGACCGGACCGAACCGACCAACTCCCCAGCCCAAGTACACATAAATCAAGTGGGAAAAACACGAGAGTATAAATATCATCTCCGATTTCCAAGTAAGCCGAACTCTCTGTGGCGACGAGGTGTACGGATGGGCTTGGGTTTTTGGTTTTTGGTTCGAGTGGGGAACGGAGGAACAGCGCATTCAACCCAATTGACTCGAGGAGTGCTCATGAGTGCTGTGGCGACACTTACAAAGAAACATGGGATGAAACTCGAGAGGCCAAGACACTCGGACTGTCTACGACACTCGAAATCGTTCTAGGGAAACGGAACGCTAAGTTACTTCCAAATATAGACCAAAAGTTTATTGATTTAACTCGAGAAAAAAGCAGCAATTTGTCCAAATATAGTTTAATAGCACTTTGATATAAGATTGTACAATTACTCATCATGCCTCGTAAATAGTTAGTTGTAAAAGGTGGAATAAAATCTATGCGATTTCTAAAGATTGTGTTAATCCAAAAAAAAAGAAGCCTTGCAAAACTATTTAAAGTTTACTAAAGGAACCTTTGGCTAGGGTTAATCTCGATGGTCAGACATAGATTGTAAAATAACTCATTCAGATATTTCTTAAATATTTAAATATGCGCAACATCTAGAAGTTGCTAGATTTATGAGCTTATTAAATATTTATTAATGTTAATTCGATTATTCGGATTGAAATGGCAGATGTTTCCTATAAATTTCTTCCAATGAAATGTGCCTTTAAATGGGCTAAGGCTTTTCGGCATTAGTTATGCCAATCTTTGTTGATTATTTAGTCCGAAATTGCAGATTTTAGGCACGAAATACTTAAGCTTTCGCTTGTGTGCTGTCTGCATTCCTGATCACCGTCATCATCTCCATCGGATATGCCCTTTGAAGTCCGCTCAAGAGTTTTGGATGGATGGAGGTAAAGTGGTGGCGGTGGCAGTGGCAGTGGTGCAGGATGCCTTGTCGAAAGTCAAAAGTTCTTAGGGGTCGCAGGCAGGGCTAATTTCATGCTCGGCTCGCAGGACTAACTGGAACTAATCCACCCATCCATCCATCCTTTCGTACAACCCCCAAAAACTGAGAAATGAGACCCGAGAACGGGGAATGCGAATGCGAATGCGTTGCTCAATCAGCGCCAAATTAACACCATGAAAGACTTTTCCTCCATCTCCGTGGGTGGATGGTTCGATGGGTGCTCCAGTGGTTTGGTTTGGTTAGGTTTGGATGCCCCTGCACCCAAATGTTTGGGCGGATTTTGTTGGGTGGTTCGACGGCCGGAAGATTCGATCTTGATGTATATGCGAGGCACGTAGTTTGGCCGCTGCTGGTGGTGGAATCATCGAATATATCTACGTATGCGTACGTGTCTCATAAAAGCCGCTCAAAAAACTGACTGACTGACTGACCCAACTTTGGTAATTTATGTGGCCTACGGAGCCATGTGCCCGGTCTGCACACTTGCGAAAAAGAAATAGTTAAACAACTCTACAAAGACATCGGGGACTACAATCTTTAAAAAAAACTTTATGTCTCCTAATTATATATATCTTTAAATTTTTATAAGGTAAACATACTTTGCTGGAACTAATATTATATATGTAAAACCCATTACATTGTATTAACATATTGCATTGTTTCAAAAATATTACAGAAATAATTTTAATTTCGGGAAACAAAGAAAAAAAAGTCTACAATAGAAACAAACAGTCTAAATTGCAGGGATTTACTGAATTTTCTATATTTACCTGCCTTGTGTGCTGTGCAGGCAATGTTATTTGAGAAAATGTTTTCACCCATGTACGAACATCAAATGTGATTTTCCCATTTTAGGTGGGAGTTTTGACACTTTTCTTCAAGTGCAGAAACCGGGGTGTGAAATACCAGGGCAATTGCATGTAAAAGTTGTCCCTGCCTGCGTTTAATTTATATAGCCCAGACACATTTTGGGCCAGGTAGTCTCCTCGAGACTGTGGAAAGCGAGGGAAAGCGAAGAAAATCGTGGAAAGGGCAAGCCGACGGGGAAAAGATTTGCCAGTTCAGCGTTTTCATTCAGTCATTCGGTCATTCATTCGTTTATTCATTCATTCTGAACGCCTTATTGTTGTTACTTATCGCCCAAGTTGTTTCAGGTTCAGGCCTCGTCCACATCCTCGTACTCATTTCCAGACCCTGTCCCAATCGCAATCCTCCCCTCATCAACTACATCGTCTACATCTTCAGAGGCCAAAAATTCAATTGAGCGGAAAATATGTTGTCTTTGCGATTTTCCTTTTGGCATTCGTCGTTTTTATCTGCCACAACTGCTCGGTTTGGTCCTGCTCCTCCTCCTCCTACTTCTGCTCCTTTTCCCTTTCCGTTTGCGTTTCCCTGATTTTCCTGCCTTATTGTGTAATGATGACAAAGTGCCGCCGTCAAAGTTGGCCCAAAAGGTGATGGCAGCCATTGTCCAGCGGGTTTTTCCTTTGCCAGCGTGATGGATGATCGATCCAGATGCAAGTAGCTGCTACATTTGCAGAAAGTATGGATGCATTTAAGGGCTTAGAGAGCTGGATAGCATCGGAGTGGCTTAAGGTTGCCAAGGAACGATTGAGCAAGGAGATAACATCGGAATAGTTTAAGTTTTAGAAAAAAGCGATTTAGCTTCACGGGATTAAGATCGTTGTACACAGATAGTAAAACGGATTCCAGTCTTAAATAGCTTAGATTTAATTTTGATTTTCAACTCAAACCGACACTTATATAGATTTTTCCATTAAGTATTAAGTATAGCAACATTAAAGTAATTTAAGGTTGAAAAAACTCACTAAGTTTTCGGCGAATAGCCAAACGATTATAATTCGAAACGGAAGGCTGATTATTACGAAGAGGTTTGATGCTTTGTACACAGGTTCATGTTAAACAAACATTAGAATGTGAGTGTTATTATTATTATTGATTTTAATTCAAGTTGAAACCACATATGCTTGCTAAAAATGCTAACAATAAGTCACTTCCAAAATTATTTATATAGAATTAGGATGCCTAAATAATCACTAATTTAAAGCAACAAAAACACCGTGGTTTTTATGAAATTCTACATAATCATAATTATAAAAAATCGAGTATACATTTCAATTACAATCCGAAATAAACTAGTATGACCAATCGAGTGAGACTGTAGATAAAGATTTCATAAATGTGATGCCGGCAAATGCAATAACCATAAATCTGGCTTGCACCAACATTAGGGTTACTTAACCCTCCCCTGAAATCGAGAAACTGAAAACGAATGCCCAAAGAATTGAGATCTGGTTGGCCCGCCTCGTTTGATTTTTTTAATATTGTAAATTCCGAGTCATAACAATTTGTCACGCACCCATCGCTAATCGCTGTCGACTCATTCGCCCATTCATCTGTGTGTCTGTCTGTCTGTCTGTCTATCTGTTTCTGTCCGTTTTGCCTGCCAGCTCATTCATAAAAGGACTGCGGACAGGGACCGAAAGTGATGGGCGGGGGGGTTACTGGTCCTGGTACTACGTACTGCCCGCTGTTCTATTTTGTTCCGTTCAGCTCAGCTCAGCTGCTTTGAGACTAAGGCGACAGTTGACAAAGGCTAAGCAGGCAGTCCGGTTTGATCCCGATCCTCTGGCCCCTTCCTGTCGCCATCGTCCTTCTCCTCGTCCTCGTCCTCATCCTCGTCCTGTCACGGCAATCCTCCTCATTATCCTCATTGCCAGGAGCGTGAAATTTTCAATTCGCCATAGACGAACACAAACGTTTGTGGTCATTTACGTGTATACAGAAACGGTCGGAAAAATAGCAGAGGGATTACTTAAATTACTGAAAACAACAAGCCATTTACCAAAGCATGCCCTGCTTTATTCAATGGTCAATTGGTTTTCATATTGGTATTACGATGTATATTCCTATTTTAATATTCCGGAAATGAGGATTTAAAAATATCTAACAGAGACGAGGCTTACTGTAATATTTCTTTAGTTCAAGAGTTTTATGGAAACTCGGGGTTAATAATATTTTAATTGTCACTTCCTAATAAACTACATTATTTGTATTGTGTAAGCTGTGAATGTAAATACAAATACGGCATTTTTAGTGATTTAAAATTAAAGTATATTTATGAGAACATATATAGTGTAGTCACTTAGAGGTTTTCTTTATATAGTTTTTCATCATACTTCGAACTCTCATATTCTTTTTGACCTCTGCTGTACATCTACATAGACTTTTCTTTTTGCCTGCTTTGCCTTTTATTACAAGTTACAAATTTGCGTCTATTGTTGAGGCCATAAGATGGAGGATGGTGCCGACTGAGGGAGGGGGGGCGAAGGAGTCTGCTGATGACTCCTTGTTGTTTGTCCTGGCAGCCCGGGGTCTTGGGCCTGATTACTTTTTCCTAGCTTACTTAAAATTCGATTAGGCCACGCCCACTAACTAACTTTGTCCTGTCTCTCTTTGCAGCTTTCCAAGGACTGGCATTATTGTAAGGATTCCGTTGATTGCACAAACGTAAGTATCTCATCCATGTTTGTCTTTGTGTGACAGCCTAACGATGTCATTAACCCATTAATGCTGGCTTAAAACTGCTCGAAAAGTATAGATTCTCGAGTGTTTGGCCATATATATATATATATATGTGATCTTCATCAATATGCATAGTAAACTCAAGCTAAATAGATTGGGTATTTGATGAGTTTCAAAATTTTAAGAACAAATTCTGAAAGCTACGTCTTCAAGAAAACACTATACATCAATTTGTTTGATTAAAAATATATTAGTTCAAGATAGTACTTTTTAATTAAAGAATTTTGCCTGTAAATGAGTATGCATTCTACACTGGCTTTCTACAAAAATGTTGCTATCTTTAAATTAAAATAATTTTATTTGGGAAACACGACTTTATTTGCCATTCCGGCGTAAATTTTATTATAAATTTAACAATTTCAAATTCCTCCAGAGGAGTATCCTTTTAAATGCTTGAAATTAAATCTACATTTATTATACCAAGCCGGCTGAAAAAGGGTTTCCATTCCGTCGCACCACATTGCCAACCGTAAACATTTTTAGGCACTTACACGGCAAGGACATGAATTATTCCAAATGAAACAGCCAGGCCTTAATGGGTTAAACGCTGTCGCTTGGGGCGAAAAGTGGCGACCGAAGGATGAACAAATTTCATTGCCTACCTGCGGGCGCGCCACATAATTACAAGAAATAATTGACAAATAGCTAACTTTCCTTTCCCTTGTTTCTCCCTTTCCCCCACGCTTCGTGCCCTGCCTCGGGCGTTGTCCTTGCTGCTCCTTCGCATCCTTCGCTCCTGGATACACCCCCGCCCTCCCCCACAGTGCTGCGAAAAGCTGGTGGCCCCGTTCGAGCTGAGGATCCTGAAGGCCCAGCGCCAGGAGTCGCTCGTCCTCACGGACATCGGCTGGGATGAGATGATTGCGAACGCCTCGCGCCAGTGCCTGATCACCTGGGAAGTGTCCGGCGGCGGCCTCATCGGCAATCTGGTCACGGACACCGCCCGGGCGGAACTCTCCTTGTGGCCAGACACCGTCTACAACATCCAGGTCAAGTGCAAGCACAAGGTGAGTCCAAACTAAATATAAATATAAGAAGCACTAGGGAAAATAGCCAAGGGATTAAACATTGTACTGTCAAAAAAGGATATCTTGGGGTATATTACTCAAAAAACAGCACCCCTCGGCAATTAAGAATTAGGAGTATTACTTTAAAGGGGGTATAAACCAATGATAATAATGAGCACAAGGTGTCTACGTATCTAATAAACCTTTTGTTGTTATCTAGAGATAATATCTAGAGATTTTTAAGGCAACCACAAATAATGTGGAAAAAACGTTAACGAACTTCTTGCTGCTGAGTAAGAGATAAGAGATCTATGAAATTGGGGTAAAGATTATGAGATGCTTCAATATATAGTCACTAGTATTTATAACTTATGTATTGTGGGGAAAGAATGTAACCTCTAACCTATTCTCACCTTTTATTCTTCATCCTTTTTTATCTGATAGCTCACGGGTCTGGTGCGGCGTTCGATCAAACTCAATGTAAACACTAGTCGGTTGGTGGGCACGACAACGACCACGACCACGACCACTCCAAGCACTACAAGGACCCAGGGGCAATCATCGCAGTCCGTGGACCACACAGATCTCTTGGAGCACTCGCAGCGTATTCACGTCCGACCTACGGATCGGGTGTATATAACTAGTGCACTGCCCACGCCCAGCAAACTGGGCGGAGTTGTTTATCCGGCCTTCGGGGCCCTGGCCTTCTTCCTGGCCCTGCTGGTCATGTTCCTCTTCCTGCGTCCGCAGCGCAAGCGATTCCCTCTGGATGCGGACAGTGCGGACACGGCCACGTTGATAGGTCGGAACTCGTGCTCCAGGAACTCACTGGACGCCTCCACCCTGCATGTCTAAGGCGGCGTACCCGGAGAACTTGTAGTCGTATATATATAGATGTCTGACTATGTGATATTCTGCACCCCAAAAAGCAAAAGGAAGCGAAGACAACTGTGTACATACCCCTCACCGCGTTAGTTAGCCCCTTCCTCCCCCCTCCCCCAGAAAAAAAAAGAATACCCTATCTAGCGGTTCGATAAGATAGATCAGATCAATTGGAATCGGAACGGATCGGATCTAAAAGTCAAGCAACTTTCGCTCAACTAAGTTTAAGTTTTATCCTCTGCCATTCGTAGATCCCAATGCCAAACCAGCGCAGTCATATATACACGCATGATTAACATACATACATAGCTCTATATACATATACCAACTATATTATACACTTAACGCATTTACTATATATATATCATAGTTATACAAGCAGACGCAACTAAAGATACAAGTGCAGATCAAGATAAAGATACAGATACAGATACGTTTACGGTTACGGATATAAATATATATTATATTATTATATTATATATTATATTAAATTATATTATAGACTAGGGGCCAGCGGCCAACCAACTACATACACCAAACTAAATGCAACAAATTGCTACAAATTTTTTGTCAATCGTCGTCGCTCGCTTGCAAACATACAAACAAAAAAAAAACATTTGTTTTTATCTCAGGTTAAAAACAAATAAAAACAAATTAATACAAATACAAAATATCATGCATCTCTTTTCCATTTTTCGTCGTCTTTAAACTTAAATGAAACATAGTACATAAAAAGGAAAACAAAACAAAAATAAATGAAATAACAACTTAACAAGAAATACAACTTAAATCAAAAGTAAATATTTTTCAAAATTTTTAAATGTTTATACCTAGACAAACTCAATTGAATTAACATCAAAGTAAACTATTATAAATGACTTACTGTACTTGAGCATGTAAAAAACAAAGTAACAAAGTAACTAACTGAACTAAACTATGGTTAATACGGTTAATTAAAAATCTAAGCTGAGAAAACTTCGCTACGCAAAATGCCTGTAAATATTATAGCCCTAATTTATTTAAATTTAATCCATTGTTTTGTTAACCTATGATTTTAAGGAGACCCCAAAAAATAGAAGGTTTTCCAGGGGGAAGATGGTTTTGAAATTTACAGGAATGTAAAAGGAGTTTTTACTATACAAAAGAAAGAACAACTTAATATGATTAATGGAGTGTTCGTGTTTTTGATTTTTCTTAAAGGGAAAAAAGTATGTATGTTTTTAATATCGGCTCCGATGGTTGTAGTAATAAATTAGTAAATTTCAGTGAAATATATCAAGTTAAAAGAACTTCCTATCCAATTTAATAAAACCAATCTTCCCTCAATGGAACCTCTGGAGTGAGAACTTTTTGGAGTCTAAACTCATTGCCATATAATACAGTCCTAGTTTAATTTTAGTTTAGTGATCCAATTGTGTTACCTCTTTTTTTTGTGGCAGAGACTCGTTAAGACTAAATACGAAATATGCCAATCACATTTTAGATATATGCTGTGTATGAATAAATTCGGATGAGAAGGATGGAAGCGGAAGTGCGGTACCCTTTCAACATTTATCCTTTATTCGTTTATTATGTAAATATAATTTGATTTGTTATTGCAGCTCATTTTTGGCTACTTTTATTTGTTACGGGTTGGCATGGGAATACATATACACATACCCCCCTCCATATAATCAAAAAACTAAGGCATCGATTTTTGTGCCCCCCGTTCCTGTCTTCTCTGTTTTCCCCGAGTTTCTCCCTGTCGTCCTCCCACTTATCATATAAATTAGAGTTGGGATATGCAAATGCATTCAAGAAGACGGGGGGTTGATTGTGTAAGGGGTCGTGTCGATTATGAGAAACTTCTTTGGCTAGATGAAATGGAAAAATTCCTTTGCCGCAGCCGGAAAAGTATTCTCTAAAGAATTTCCGATTAAACTTTTCCTTTCTTCATCTCTTTGGCAAAAAACTCTCTTTTTGGCTTTCAAACTTTTTCGTTCGACCGTCTCTCGTTGTTTTTTTTTTTATTTTTAATTTCTTGCCGTTTTTTAATTTAATTTTTTTTGTTTTCTTATTCTTTTTTTGGATTAGCAAAGGGGGTTGGCTTTGGTGGCCACTTGGCTGCCATTAGATCCGATCCCCTTAACCCTCTGCTGCCCCATCATCCCCCTTTTTGTTCAGCTGTTGTTCGCTCGGCCACTTCAGCTTTCCCCCCACTCTACATTCTCAAGCACTTTTTATAAACCAAATTAAATTTATATGCCCCTACAGCTCCCGGGCCCCTCCCCCCGCATCTTAACCCCTGCTCGCCGATGTCTGTGTTGTTTTTTTGTGGGCCAAGCCAATCCCAGGCTCTCGACGCTGTCAACTGCCAATTAGCTGAGCATTTTTCAACATTTTAAATTGTCTTCGCAGAGTGCGTGGTGCAGTCCCCTTTCCAAGGGGCTTTAGTGGGTTAAAAGGGGGAAGGAGGGGAGCGGTATTAGGTCCGGGCGACACTTGAGTGAGACGTCCAAGCGATTTTGCTTTTATAACCCCAATACCCATTATGGAAAAGGGCATGTCCACTAAATACCCTTTACTAGTGTGATTACTCCATTAGGTCTTCATCACTCTACACACACGTAGCGGTCATCATTTCTTCATTCTTTTTTGATAACTATTTGTATGGTTGTTTAGGATTTACTGCACTTCAAATTCCATTCCTTCATAAATAACTACTCAACTAAAATCTTCCAAATAAATACATATAAATATAGAATATTCTTAAAATAAAAAAATAAAGAATACAACTAAGTGTGGACTGAAAAACGTGTTAAACTTTGATTCCTTTAAAGGTACATTTTAATCTTTTCCTATTTTTTATATCACTTATTTCTGAATGTTTTCAAATAAATGTAAAAAAAATATCAAACTAGGTGTATGTATTTATATCCAATACAAATGTTAAATGATAAAGAACATTTTGAACTTATAAAAAAACAAAGAATACTTAACCAAATAAACTTCTTCCTGATAAGCTAAGCATAATTATAAAAATATCGGATATACGGATTAATATAACATATTTAGTTATTTTTTCCTTTTCCTGATAAAATGATTTGAAATAAAGGAAAGGAAAACATAGACTTCCAAAAAAAACATTACAATAAAACGTTTCTCAAGTTTGCGATTAATTGACTAATTTTAAGCTTTATTTTGATTTTATTTTGAAACTTTTTATAAAAAATATTTAAAATAAAAATTTGCCAATTCAAATAATGTTGAATATTGTTTTCAGCTAAGAAAAAAAAAAATTTCAAATGTTAACAAATAGTTACTAAGGTACTTCATATAAAATATTTTTAATTCCAAATCCTTTGTTCTTTTGTAATAATTGAAATTCAATTCAAGTGAAATGCAATCTCAAATTGGAAACCACTTGTTTTTAACCAGAAGTTGGATTTCCAATTGCTTTTGATTTTAGCGGAAAAAAAGAGAGGGTAATTCTGGTGCGGTATCTATATCTTGCATTCCCGCTCTATGTTTGTTTTAGTTGTTGCCTCTCGTTGCTTTTGTTGTTCGGCTGTCAGTTGTGCAGCGCGTGCTTCATTTATCAAAAAGCAATTACAATGTTATTTCGATAAAGATGCTCCAATGCTCCCCATGGACACGCCCACAGTCACGCCCACGCCCCAAAAGACACACACCCAAACAAACAGACACAAAAGAAATTCGGCGGGAGAGCGGGAGAGAGATGGAAAAAAGAGAGGGCCCACCTGCCAAATCCAAATCATTTGCCAAATTCCACCTCTCCTCCCACTTAACCCTTAGCCGTGCCCCTAAGCTTCACTCCCACTCCAATTTCCACTCCCAACCCTAACCCCTAACCCGGTCCCACCCCGTTTAGCTTTTTGATTTTTATTTTGTAATATAAATTACCAAACAAGCAAAAAAAAAACCCAAAAACGCTAAGAAAACAAAAGCAACTACAGTTGTTGTCAAAATAATAGCAGTAGGCTCTTGAAAAATTAAACAAATAACCAAAGGCGGTTGATTTTTAATCAGGGCAAAGCTCAAAGTAAACTTCAAACAATTTAAGAACCGTTTTCCGGTTTTTTCTTGTCATTTATAAAATAAACAAAATTAAATCAAAGTTAGATTTTTAAAGATTGATGAGTATTTACTAACAAAAAAATGGAAAAAGCATTTTTAAAATCTTAATTTAACTAAGTTAACACTGGTAACCACTACTATTTTGACAACAGCTGTACATATATAGAGTACCTACAAACATATTGTATTACAACACGATGGAAATGAAAAAAAGGAAGTAAAAACAACAAAAATTATTAATTCTAAGTAGACAAAAGAAAGAAGTGGACGAAGATGAAGGAGATGGAGAAGCAGATGAAGCGCAAAGCAAACCAAATAAAATTAGACTACGACTAAAAGGCAAACGAGAAGAGAACAGAAGAGATATCTTGGCTTTTTGGGTGGTTGGGGGGTGAGAAGTGGGCGGGGTGAGTGGAAAAGCGAGCATGTGTTTGAGCCATAAAAGGTTTCTCATTACAATTTTGTTGTTGTTCCCGCTGTTGTTCTTCTGTTTTGTGTCATTTTTTTTTCTTTTTTTGGCCAAGGGTCGTCGCATCGTTGCACAAAATTACTTTTTTCCTTTCCTCCCAAAAGTGCCAGCGGGTAAGGGGGCAGGGAGCGGGATGTTTTGGGGGGCGAGGAGATTGGCCAAGGGAATAAAACAACTAATACAGCAGCAGCGAGCTAAAGAACACTGCGAAGAAAAGTGGCATCTTATCTTATAATCTAAAAAACACCCCATCTTCTACAACTGATGTTCAGTAATGTCCCAGCGACTTTAACAAATGTTTAAAAGTAGCCAACACTTTTAAAATATTTAACGATCTGAACACAATATTATATTTCACTGAACATTCCCCTATTATATTTCCAATTCTTCTTTTATTTTCGGATAAATTATTTTGAACGTAATCCATATTAATACATATTAAGGATATGATATCCTTTAAGTGCCTAAAAGCAGGCTATGATATTTCAAATCATAATAATTGGAATAATAAAAAGTATTTATTTATACCAGACATCACTTAGTTCACCATCGTTAAATTAGTTATATACAAACTGTGGAGTGGTATCATACCATAGTTTACAATAAGGTTTCGTACAATAGGACAATGTAAACATTAAATGTATAAAAAAAGAATACAAGAATTAATTACAAATATTTCAACCATTAAAATTTCAGTTTTGCCTGTTTTAAGTGGCAAACAAACTTTGACAGTGAATTTAAGTGCGCGCGAAATGTCCTCATTATATTATCAGCATAACTTGTCATAAAGGGACATTTAAAACTTTGCCTTCCGCTGGTAATTTACCTTTTTCTTAATTGGCATCAGATTCACCACCCTTTGGCCGCAATTGTTTTTCCAGTGCAGCGGCAGCAGCCCGAAGGGCGATTTCTGTTCAAGGCAGTTTGCCGGGGAGAAGGGCAATTGTAGTTCCCGGGGGGAGTACTTGTACCAGGGAGGTGGGAGGTAGGAGTAGGACCAAAGACGGGTAGAGAAGTGGACACCAAGGGGGCCAAGGCTGGCTCGGAAAATTGATAAATTTCTGTGGCAAATTTCCACAAATATGAAAAGATTAGAGCAACTTTTCAATTAAGAAATGGAAACTAATCTCAATCATTGCAGCGACAGGCGGCTCTAGAGCTTCACTAGCCCCACAAATTCCCCCTTTTGGGCACCGAATGGGGATACAGTTCAACTTTCCTATCTAGAACTAAAAAGTGGAACTTGAAAAGTTCGATTTTGGTCATAAAAAAATGCTGTAACATTTACTTTAATTGTGAATTTTTTGACCGAACTGAAAAATATAAAAAAAAACTTTTGTTTTAACAATAAGATATATTTTTCCATTCATATATAATATATGACTTTTAATTATTTTAATGTTATTCAATTCTAAAAACAAAATTTAAGCATTCAAAGTTTTGAAGTTTACAGGTTATTCTTTTTAAAGCCTATTTTGTTAGAAAACATTTTCAATGTTCGACTGTCATTTTAAAACTTATGCTGTTTCACAACATGGAAAACCAAAAATGTCAAATAGGCTTTCGATGTCCATTGAGCAAATGAGCAATTTTTACCACAAAATTTAAACATGTGTGATAATAGCATAGTCATCAATAACATAGGGTAATGAGAGTAGTAGATAAGGAGGCTCCACTGTATTTGCAGGGACATCGGCGCCGGCAGAGCTGCTACTGATACTAATACTGATGGAGATGCTGAATCAGTTTGATTTTGATACGGAGATATAGCCACACACACATACACAGATGCTGTTTATAGCCAAAGCACACCCACGTGGAAGTGCCAGTGGGTGGGGCAGATGGGGTGACCGGGGGGTGGGAGGTATAGAGCGAAACGAACAGGTTGGAGCACGAACGCAACACGTTCGAGTTGGCTGCAGGGATAACGGGTAACGGAAGAGCGACATGGATATGTCCACGGCCATGTCCTGATATCCTTATATCCCGTGTTCCAGCCAAAGCCAATGCGTCGGCGCCTCGCCCCCCTCTCCACGACGCCCCTTTTTGGCGTGGCACAATTCGCGGGTTCCGCTGTTCTCATTTAACCTTACCAAAGGTTACAATACGTCACGAGAGGAGAGTGTGCCAGTTGAAGAGAGCAGCAACACCCAAAGGAACATCGCTAAAAAGAGAGAAAGGAATAAGAGTGGAAGAAAGCGGGGAAAGGGAAAAGACAGCTGCAACAGGGATGCCAATCTAATATCAAAGGATCTAAATAATAAATCGTAAAATATGATATTTAATGAAAGCTACATATGTACATATATGTAATAGTCAACTATAAGTAATATTCAAAGAAGGAATCGCGAGATTTACGCCTAATTTTTTTAAAACAATAAAATTAAGAAAATTTTACCCGATCTTTTCCACGGCACCTATAGGATATAGTCCCATTGACAAGATTTTTATACTTGATCGGTGTACATTGCAGTAATATGCATTAACCGATATATGACAGATCAAGGATATAGCTATCCGTTTAAATTAATTAATAAATGCGATAAGAATGTTTTTTTTTAACTAAACGCTGAGAAATAATGGTATAATGTTGAAATATCATATCTTGTTGAATTCGTTATAAAATTTCCAACAAAGTTTAATTTACAGAATAAAAAGTTTTTTAATCAAAACCATAGTGGTCAAATTTTGAAATGTCATACCCCGTTAAAAATTGTATTTCACAAAAATTGAATTATTTAGTCTATTTAATTCATCTAACACAACAACTAAATGCTTGGAAATCAGACTACCTTGAAGAACTACCTTAGAAGAATATATCTGTTAAATGTCAGTTTTAATAAAAACTGCTTTTTAACGTTTTACGGTAACCAGTAATGGCAAGTCTTTTCAGCTTCAAAATAAAAAAAAACTATTAAAACCTTTTTTAAAAATATTTTGTATATTGACTTCAAAATCAGTGTGCTATTTATTTTTCTACTTTACTATTTGTATTATTTTAAATTATCCCAAATATAAATAAGTGCGCAAAATTGGTTGCCAAAAGGCCACAATCGAAGAAAAATCGAAAGATTGCCATCACTGAGCAGCAAGGACATTCGAAATGAGAATAGAGGGAAGTAGCAGGTTCAGCTGACAGCCGTGAGACATCTTGATTCGGAGCTTTATCCATGATGATTTCCATTATTCGTCTACACTTGTTTGCGGAGATTCATCGCGGATTAAAATTACGATTGCAGGATGACGGAGAGTTTAGGGAACAGAATGCCTGTCAGTTCCGTGATTTGATTCCGTCACGTGTATTGACACATTTTTCGCAAGATGGGGTGGTGCTTTTCATAGTAATCAGCGTTTGTGGTAATCCCTGAAGATTTATTCTAATTTGATTAAAGGATTCAGTATCGATTTTTGGTTGAAGGTTTCTTTTTTAATCTATTTTATGTCAGTTTCCGGTTTCTGTGGAAAATATTTTTTTAAATAGGCATCTAAAAATATGTATGACAAAAACGTCTATATAACAGATGGACTGATATAGGAACGATACTAAATATTGATCATATATTAAACATCAATTGCCATATACATTTTTTAAAGAATCGGATTCTTAGGATGTCTTTGAATACTTACGTTTTATACCTTACCAAAGACACCTTAAAGAAACCCTTTCTGAAACCCAGTATTTTTCAAGTATACTATCTTCCACGATAGATGAGAATTAGTCTTGATCGTGCTGTCCTTCGATAAAACGAAATCGTTTGTTTATTTCGGCTCAAAAGGTTTGTGGAATATAAGTAGATATAAAAGGAAATGATAATAATACAAAAATAATAATATATTGTACAATATGTTAATGTTATTATTTTCTTGTCTCTCTCTCTTTCTTTCTCATACAGCTGCGTAATTCATTTATAATCATAATATTAATAATAGTTAATGGATTTTCTTTGCTTCTCGATGCCCCTCATCATCGTCCTCGGCGACGGCAACTAATCAGTTTAGTTTATATAGTTCTAAGCTGCGTCCTCCTCCGTTACAATTATATTTATCATAGATATTATCTAGTTTTCCACAGTGCTATCTGGTTTGTTTTTATTTTTAGACTTTCTCTGGTTGCTGCTGATTTTCCGCTTTAAGTACGTGCGCACAGGAAATAACAATACATAATATAATATATATCCGCGTGGTCGTGTGTTTGTTTATATATATATGTATATAATATGAATGCGTTTAGAGGGGTAAATAAAAAGGATATCAAAGGTCCAACGGAACCCGGAACTGATCAATAAGACGCATGACTCAGGGGGAAAACAAACACTCATTACATATAGATATAACAAATAAACTGATTGAAATGGCATCAAACATCGTTCTACTCGCTCCATTTCGATTCCTTTAAAATGCTAAGCTTTTTAAATGCTTCTGCTACATAATTTCACAATCGGTTTTAATACATTTCTGTTGTTTCTTTTTTTGCTTGTGTTAGTTGCCATTTTTTATGGGGATAGCGGGATTGACTTTTATTGTCTTAAATTAAAACTGAAAGTTGTCTTTTACACACAAAAGTTTACACACCATTTAAAATGAGAACAGTAATTAAAAATAAAACAAGATAAACGTAAAGAATTTGATTTGACAAGTAGTGTGTTTATATATATGTTTAGATATAAATTAGAAAAAATATATAAGTTAACTGCTTGGGGTGATTCCCTTTTTTCATTGCTACCGAGCGCCGACTTGACTATCCCGGTTTAAAAAACAGTCTGAGTCTGACAACGCTGTGCGCCGATCTGGAAAATGCTCTGATCTAGATGCGATTGCGTGGGTGTCTCTGTGTTTTACTGTGTGTGATAACTTATTTTACAATAAATGTGTGACAACCACAGTGTGTTTT